TTTTTTTTTAATATTGAGAAGTACATTTCAGTTACCAGGGAAAAGAGCTCCATCTCATCAGCTGAGTTCTTGAGATCCTTAAGGTTGTACTCAATACCAAAGTGAGAAAGCAGAAGCTGGAGCTGAGGTTTCAGCTCCTCAGTTTCAGTGCTGTGCTGGGGCAAAGTGAATCCAGTGTCCTTGTGGCAGGATTCTGCAAAAAGCCATCATCAGACCAGCTGGAGAACATCAACACTTTAAGCAACATGACTGTAAGATGATTGTAAGCAATGTTGTCAGTGCCCTTTGCTTTGCATCCACACAATGAAGTAATTTCCCTTTTCTTGTCCTGAAGCAGAAATATGTCAGAGAATGGAATGTGATGGGAGAGGGGAACCCACATCTTATGGATTTTTATTATTTTCATTTTTCTTTTAAGAAAGGGTCTTCTGCCAGACTCTGAAAGACTAACAGCTGTTGCAGGTCAGGACACCTCCACGGTCCTTGGAGGAGTGCCTATCTTCTAGCATGGAAAGGACGCCAGCTAACAAACCCTGCTGCCTGAACAGAGTCCTGGCTCAGGAGTGTACAACATTCTTCTCACACACATACCTCCCAAATCTTCATATGCCACAAGAACTTCAAATATGTTACTATTTCAGGGTTATCACTCCTCCAGTATCTGATTCTGGCATGATGCTGCTATCACAAACTTCTGAAACAAGCATATACTGGGGATGGCCGAGTTCGGCCTGGTATCAGTGTTGAAGAGTCTGTTGGCAACATAGCCCCTATTTTTAGAACTGAAATATTTTCTCCTCCTTCTTTACCTCATCTCAGGCTTGCTCAAAGCTTTGAAGGATACCAGTATTCCTTCACCCTTGAAGAGCCAAAACTGTTATGTTCCTGTAAGTTTTGTCATCTTTTCTTCCCTTTTTTTCAGCTCTTTGACAGGTATATTCAACACTTGGGGTTCGTTTGTTTGGGGTTTTTTTGTCTTAGTCTAAGCCATAACAAACAGCAGCACTTTCTCTGCTACTACTTTTCCAAAGAGTTTTTAAAGTTAGAATAAGTGTCAATTGACTCTCCTTTACCCAGTACTAGTGGGTACTGCTGATACACACAAAGATCCTAATAGGTAAGTTACAGATTGCTAAACTTCAGCAAAACTCTTGGGGTTTAGTGGAACTACATGTAATCTAATTTATTATCTCACTTTTGAGCAATAAAGGGCCTGTTGGCCACTTTGGGTCAGCTGTCCTGGCCATGTTCCCTCCCAGCTTCTCATGCACCTCCAGCCTCCTCACTGGCAGGGCAGTATGAAAAGCCGAAAAGTCCTTGACTTGGTGTAAGCACTGCTTAGGAACAACTAAAACATCAGTGTGTTATCAACCTTATTCTCATCCTAAATCCAAAGCACAGCACTGTACCCACTGCTAGGAAGAAAATTAACTTTATCCCAGCTGAAACCAAGACAATTATTCTGTTGTTTCATCTATGTAGCTCAGATCTAGACAGCAGACGAATGAAGCTTATGATGGTAATATGATACTGTTCCTCAGATATTAGATAACTAGATATTGAAGATCAAAATGAGCTAGGGCACTTCTGAGTTGCTTTTTAATATCAATAAGGGTCTACTCCATGGCAAAATGAATGGCTCTGAGGAACTCTGTAACATATTGGAGGTCTTGTGCCCTTCTCCATACATTATTAGCCCACTGTATCTGAGACCATGGATCATCCCTCCCTCTCCTATCCCACTCACTGGAGAAAACATGGCCTGCTCAATAGGCTTTGTTTGGAGAGAAGAGTTTAACCTTCCTCTCCCTGCTCCTTAACACTAGCAGCGCTGTATTCCTGGGGCAGTGCTGCGCTGTCTCCCACCATGGGACCTCCATAGGCCTAAGGAGTGAGAGGGCTGCACCAGCATAGCCAGTTAGACCAGTCAGAGCTTAGTTAGACCACTAACTAAGGGCTAAAGGCCCCTTATCTCTCCCAGGTAAAGCTGCACTTTCCTTAGAACTGTTCTCAATCAGTTGTCACTGGTTGGGCAGTGCCATTCCAGGCCAGGGCTGTGCCCTGCTCCCTTGTTCAGACCCATAGGTGGAGATCTTCAGTGGAGAAAGGAGATGGGGAGGAGAAGTCACAGCCCCTTTTCATTCTTCCACCCTGGCCAGCCCACTTCCCGACTGCAAGGAGGAGCCATACACCCTGCCTCGTCCCCAGAGAGGGGTTGTGCTTTTCCAGAGACAATCCTGTGAGCTCCTACAGTTCCACACCATTCCCACTCTGTCTGTAAAAGCATGGCTTAAATCATAGGATTTAAACACTCTGCAACAGGAATGCTGCCTTGCTTGTTAAGTACCATTCACACAGGTAACTCTCATAAGCAACATCACTCCCTCCCTTCCTTCAAAAGGAAAGAGAACTTGAAAATAACCTCAAGGACATTTTCTAGAGATACTTCAGTACAAGTCTTAAAACGATAGCTCTCTTCTCTTAGTATCTCCAGAAACATGCCACCCACAGAAATATTTTAAATAATATTCATGCAGAAAGTTGGAAGGGTGAGTTTCAGGTTTGGCATAATCAGGACAATATCCTGGATTCTCCACTGAGTTGATCCCGTAAGTATCCTTCTGAACCATCAGTTTCTGCAGCCCAGGGCACAGTAAGGCCAGAGGAGCAACCGCCACAGATTCAGGGCTCCACACTCTGGAATTTGGACACCACATTTCTAGGATTCTTGCTGACTTTAAAAGCCACACTCCGAATTTCTCAAGCATACAAACCAACATTTTGTGTTTTGGCAACATTTGTATTGGTGACCTTTCTCAAAGAATATACATCAAAAAAATGCATTATCTGTAGGACTTGTGGTTTTAAAGGAAAGCTGATAATTTCTCACCATTTCTTCTTAAAACTCTTGAACTGGGAAACAAATCAATATTACAAATATCTGAATTCTTGTCAAAAGCACTTCTTAATTTGTCCCAGTTGTCTTGGACCACATCAGGACATTTCTTATCAACCACATTTATTCTATGAGAAATAGGCAGATGCTGGAGAATCTGGAGATAAAAACATGTCTGTTGTTAGTCTCAGCCACTTAGAAAGCATACAAACTATTCAGTTGCAAATTTAGTAATAAAATAAAACACAAAAGAGAAAAGACCAAACCTAGTTATCCGTTGTGTATAATTCCAGATGTTTACTCACTGTCAATGACTCGTAGCACTCATATAATAAAGTCATTAAAGAAACTAGATAAAATACAGAAGTATTCAGATTTGGTTTCAAAAGGTGACATGTAAACAAATACTCCCCAAGTCCACAGGCTATTCATTGAGATGACTCAGCCCCTTGATAGTGTCCTGCTCTATTAAAACATCATCACAGCAATAACACAGAAAAAAGTCTCTCCAACCTTTCTCCTTTTCTTCCTGGATCTCCTCAAATCCAAGCAGCCCAACACTATCTACACTGCACCCAGTGACCTCAGTATTCCACTTTTAACCTAAATTCAGCTTTATCATTGTAGTATTTCCTTTCTAGTAAAATCAATCTGCTAAAAGAATTGAAAGTCATATGTACACAGTCTAGCTCATTACCTACAAACCTCTAAACTTCTTTTACATTGAATTTGATCTTCCTCAGTTTACTTTCTTATCCAAGACTTGAATATTCATAATATTCAATTTATTGAATTATTATTATTATGAATTATTTCATAATTAATCTTCACTGTTCAAAAAATGCTCATCTTACCTGGAGAAAATGGTGAATGCCCTTCAGAGAGTGTAGGTGACACACTAACCACCGGGTGTAAATCATCAGATCTTCCTGTGTCACTACATTCACCGGATTTTTCTTTCCTGTCAGGAAACTTTCCCTTGCCGCTGAAAGTCTTGCAGCCCTCTGAACTGCGTCATTGTATTCATCCATGATGTGACTAATTTGTTTCTGGTTATGTGTATAAAAGAGACACTGTCATTTTTGCATTTCTGCATCTTCTTCCCTTATTAGCTAGAAGGCCATTGCATTCCCACTGCATGAGGAATCCTAGTTCAAGAGTAATCTCTAAGGTTTATTTCCTTCCTAAATGCTTACGAATGGTATTTCCAACCCAATGAGAAAAAGGGAATTTGAGTCCAAATAGTGAATCTCTCTCAGCAGCTAATACTGACCGCAAGCAGATTGCTGAGAGTGAATGTCCAGAGACAAATTCCAGAGATAAATTACCCTTAAGGATAATAGCTTTTTATTTGAGTGGGAAAAAAGCCATTGTTAACACTTTGTTTTTCATGAACAGCTACTGTGCTAGATGCATATGTGCTAGATCCTAGGTTTTGTTTCCTACCTGATAGAGAGGATAAAGCTGTTCCATAACACTGCTGTGCGTACAAAATCTCTTCCATCTAAGCATGTGCAAATATTTGCTCTGGACTAGCTGAGTAATTCTGTCTGTAAAAAACTTGAATAAAATCAGAAATAACTAACAAATCTCACCTTTGTGAACAATAGCAGCGTAACATTATAGGAAACTTAAGCAGTGCCTAGATCATCATTAGCATCAGAGAATAACACCAAAACAACAGTTAATCAGTCACCAAAGACCACTGTGCTGTTATATTTATCCATGAAGGGTGCTCTCCCTAAGTTGTCCCAGTGGAAGTATTATTGTGGGAATGAAAACAAAGCAGTTAATACAAGGAAAATGCCAGAATTCAGTCCACTGGACCTAGAAATTTAAACTCCACTTTAAAAATGAAAATAAAAATAACCCACAACACAGACGTACTAGAACAGCACAAAAGCATCAGAGAATTGGGAGAACCTTGTCCCAGCCTTTCTGACCTGGCTTAGATTTCTGCCCTTTAAAGAAAGAGAAGGGGAATTTTTCCCATCGTACAAAGATACTGCAAGCGCTAACGCTTTCGTGCCTATTTTCAGGAAGGAGCTTTATACCGTTCTTATTTTAAAATGTTCACAGTGCAACTTGCTGGGCCAGAGAAGAGCTCCTAGATCTTCACAGCAGGTGGGAACCCTACCTGGTGCAGCAGCAGTGGCAAGTTTGCCGCTGTATACTCGCTTCTCCAGCAGCTCTCTAACTCCCTCTGCATGACATCAGCCTGAATGACAAGAGGTTTTGCTTCTGTCACCTGCAAACGGAGCACATATTAAATAGATCTATTTTTAAGGAGATATATATATATAAAAGTAAATACAGAAAAATGTTTAGGCTTTGAATTTAATTGGGCGTTGTCACATAAACAAACACTGCAGAGCCAGGTCCACATTATTATTCAAATAAAAGAAAGGTTATGCTCTTTTACTAACGTGCAAACAACATCATGACCCTTCCCACTCTGTCTTTACAGGCCCAGATTCCAAAAACCTATCACTTTATCTGATTTTAATTTCCAGTTACTACTTGGTAAAGAGCAAAGAGATTTTTTTTTTTTAAGCCAGTGTACATTTTAGCTACCTACTTGTAAGCCTTTCTTCAGTATTACCTCCCTTTCTTTTCTGAAATAAGATGCATCCTTTGGAATTGCAACAGAACTGCAGAAAAAAAGCAAGTTCGACAGGATGTTACATACAAGGTGGTATAAACCAAGCAGTGAAGTTAACAGTAAGCAAGTTTAATGGTATGAAAACCTTTGTTAAAGCAGAAGTTATTTAATTAGCAGACATTTTTTAGCAAACTGTTTTCTTGCACCTCTATTTTTTAGTCAAAGCCCTTAAAAAGTCCACCTGGATGTTTGTCAATCCTATGGATTTATAACCTAGAGAAAATGCAGTGGAGACATAAGTCCAGCTCCTTTTCTTTTTGTCCCAAGTGTCCTAGTCAACTGTTCTTCACCTCTGTTTTCCTCCACATGTTCTCCAGGTGGTCTACAGCTTCCTTGAAGCATAATGCCAAACCTGGCTACACTGTCATAGTGTACATACATCTCACCATTGCTCAGGAAAGTAAGAGTGGCTGTGTGATACGTGACCATTCTGTTTATACATCCCAGCGTTACGTTTGAAGCTACTTCCTCTTCACTGTAAGAAGGAAATACTTGACATGCTAGGGAGATTTGAAGTTTTGCTTACAATATACAATGTGAAATCAATTTAGTTTATGTTTTGACATTCTCTTCCACTTTAACTGTAATTCTGTGGTAGACACACAATGAAAAAGCTGCTATTCCTGGCTCCCATGTGTGTATTCGGGTCTTGAAATTGAACAGTTATATAGACACATAACTTTTGTATCACAACCAAAAAAACCCAAGAAGAGATAGAATGCGTTGCTCTGATCTCACTCCTTCATTCCCAGCAAATTCTTGTTACCTGTATGCCCTACTTGGTATTCCCTGGAGTATCCTGTTGTCTTCTATTTCTGCCTTCAGCTCTGCCAGCTGTGCTGCTAGCTCTTGTTCCAGCTGCTGGACCTTCTGAGTAGAAGAGATCTGGTATACTTCATCCATTTTGCCTATTTCAGTTTAGCAGACCAGAAGACAAAGCAGTCAAGAAGGAGCTCCTTTCTCAAGAGCAAATCAATTGCTAACTGTGGACCTAGAGAACTGTGCACGTAAAAAGCACAAATTCCCACTCTTATATAGACTTATATAGAATATGTAGCAACCTCATTAAAGAGTTGTTTATTCAGCATCTCCGTTAACAAGAAGACTTTTCTTTTAATATCGGGAACAGAACTGGGTGAATGTAATTTTTCCCATTTTGATTGCCTGCATGAGGAAAATAGGAGAAAAACTGGGGCCAAAATTTTTCAAGTATCCTCCTGCATCCTACTAACAAATGCCATCTCCTCCCTCCTTCACACAGTTTCTTAAGAATACTTTGGAAAGTTCAGGTAATTAAACATTAAATTTGATGTGGTGAATAAAACATTTTATGGAAGAAGAATTGAAACTTTACTTTCATTTTCTCTGAAATAAAATATGCTGACATTTAAAACCTATTTTCTCCCCATTTCTCTCACCTGAAACTATTACTTGAAGTTGACCAGAATAAAAGGAATGAAAGAATTTGCCAGAGATGCCACTTTTTGACAAATGCACTGTCTGCAAATAATCCCCTAATACCAAATTCACTCAGTTCTATTGGGAAACACTTGCTCTGTGAGAATTTCTAAAGTAGCTGTGCTCTCATCCCAACATCTGGAATTAAAGTTATTCTATTCACTTGTCAGTGAGGCGCATAATCAACTAGAAAGAAAAAAAAAAAGGAAATTGTCTTTTTAAAGGAAGACACAAGTCATTGCAGAAAGATTTGGGATTTCTTTCTTGGAAGCAAAGGGGAAGAAGAGGCTAGTTCATTTGTAATCAATCACAGCACAACCATCTGTAGCATCTCTTTCTCAATGGCTTGCAGAATCTGTTTGGCTGCTCTGGGCACATAGTTTCTCCTTTTTTCTTTCATGAGACCACTGAAAGATTAACAGCTGTTGGTCCAGTCACAGGTTTGACTTGACAAACACAGGAGATGGTCAAGAGGCTGAATACAGCAGTGGAGGATGTACCTCTTGGGGGCTCTTCTTGGTTGATCATATCCTAAGGCCTTGGACAATCCCTGTCTCTTGTTATGGGAATGGCCTCGCTGATAATAAGAGCTGCAAACTAAGCAACCATGGGAAGGAATCAGAGAATTCAAATCTCTGCACATGAATTTCACATCTGAGAGAAGAGGAAATTCAAGTAAAAAGAGATACAAAGAAACACCAGGGGACAGGATGACTAAAATGAGGAAGGAAGTGTTATCTAAAAAAAAAATCAAACTAAAAGATTTCACTGAACCCAGCCAGGGAACTGGATGAAATCAATGAGAAGCAGTCAGTATATTTATACACTACAAACAGATGCCTATGTAAAAGCTTGAACTAACAACATAAGACATAAAAGCTGATACTATAAGCATAATATAAACAAGGTAGAATAGCAACCACACCGGGGCAGCAGGATATGAGACGCTTTGGAAAGACTGAATTTAGGGTAAAGTCTGGTATTTATGGGATAGTCTGGTACTATAATGAATTGATATTTATGAACGGCTAGCACCATTCAAAGGTCAAAGGGAATCTATGAGCATTAGATTTACTTACTGTGGGGAATGAAGATAAAATTTTTTACTAGATTAATACTATAAAAAAAAAAAAAGTCTTCCATGCTCTACAAATGTCTTCAATCAGTCACTGAACCTACATGATATTTCACACAGTTTTGGTCACTGGTGAGAACATTATTGAGAAGAGATCGTAATCTGAGTTAGAATGGAAGAACAAAACCGGACCTGAATGTAAAAGTCTTAACATTCAAAAGGGCCTAATTTAGAGAAATTAATAAAAGCAATTAGAAAACTCAAATGCAACTAATACCTCAAGGATTTTAACATTGGAGAAGCTGGTAAAAATCAATGGTAAAAAGCTAACTGGAACTTGCCCTCAAAATGAAAGCAAAGGGAAGAGGTTGAAGCAAAGATGGTGGAGCCAACCAAAAAGTCATCAAGTAGGCAGAGAACCACAACAGGAAAAAAAAAATTAAAAAAAAAATTAAAAATCAGAGGGCTGGGCAGCCCAGAACTAAAGCTAGAAATACTAGCTAAATTAAAAATTGCTAAGGAAAATAAAGAGCAGGCAGTTCTTCAGCTATATAAATAAGAAAGAACCAAGAGAAAAGACATTATGCCACTATGCAGGCAGTGGAGTTCAGATAATAATAATAAAATAATTCAGATATGGCTGTAAAACTAATGGCAATTACTTAGCTCAGCTTTTTGAGAACATGGAAGTAGGTTAGCAGAGTGATGCAGTGGGAATATAAATGACCATTTCTGGGTATAAAGCAAAACTTTTGGCAAAATAGTAAAGCTGCCCATAAATAAATTCAGGTTGCAAAAGGAAGTCCTCTTAAGTACCAGCAAAATAAAATCCTGTAGTAGTCTGTGTCTTCCTGAAACCCACAACACTGAGCCCCCCATTTCCTACTTTCAGTTCAGTGACCCTACTCATCATGGGGAAGTTACAGTAAGCGTGTTCTCAGGACTGACACCCACATTTAGGCCAATGCACGAGAGGCTGACACAAAAACAGGAAGAATAATGGTTGTATGCAGGGAAATGCGCAGGATTCCCAGGCTGTCAGCAGCCCAGGACTTACCCAGGACTTCTGAAGATTTTGAAGAGCTAACCCAGGATCCCCAGAAATCAGAGGAAAGAGCTCATTTCATCAGAATCACCCTGGACTCCCTTTGTAGTTGGTGGAGAGAACAAGGCATTTGAGCTAAGATTCATCTGACCTGTTCTAGCTGCTATCTTAGCGTAACACTTTCAGAAAAGCTTGCTTCTCTCCGCTGATGGAAGAGAGACCACAGGACCCACACAGGGAGCCCATGGAGACCTTCAGGTAAGCACCAGAGCTGCAACCCAAACGACTTGCAGAAGCTTCAACAGGCCCCAGCAGGGGAAATGGTAGAGGCAGCCTTGCCCACTTCGGTACAGACAAGCCGAGGAAAACAGAAAATGCTTCATCAGAAGTAACAGCATAGGTTTTATTATCCCCACTGCCTTATATTTTTCTGCTATAAAAATCATCGTGTGTTTGTACAGTATTCTTATTCTGGGAATGTCTTTCGGTCCACATAAACATCTGCACATAGTTACATTAGCCAGTATCCAAATCTCAGTGAGATCCTGCCCTGATTATTTTGCTGGGAGTGTTTTTGCCAGCTTCTATTCCCAGAACACACTGGATTTATAGCTATGTCCAACCTCCAGCTTTGCTGGGTAGAAGATTGTAACACACATGCTCAAACTAAATGCCTTTTGTACTAGGACAAAGTCTTTCCAGCAGGCTTAAGTAACAAGCCATTAATTTGCGCTAGCATATTTCATTAGCAGCAGGAAAGTGAACTATTGTTGGATACAATTTGCTGGTCTGTATTTTTAATTATACTGTTTGACCTATATCTTTTGTCCAATTTCCTTAATGTCTAGCCATAAAATATGACCCTGAATTCAAATACTAAAAAAACCTGTTGTGGCATTTTGCATAACTCAGTGTAAAAGAACCCGGATTTTGAGTAAACAAACCAATTACTCTTTTTTTGTGATCGCTGTGTGTTTTTATCTGTGTGTTTTTATCTGCTGCCATGTATAGCTACATTCAAAACATTCATAAAAAAAGAAATATGCAGTTTGGTCTGAGAAGACAAACAAAATCCTACAGGATATAAATCAAAACAAGGATCTGTAAAAGAGTAGAGCAAGCACTTACTGAGCCAAAACATATTGTTCTTGTGAAGAAGTCTGCTCTGACCACTGTGCTTTCTCCAAATGTACGTTTATGGGGTTCAAGGCCAGAACTTTAATTTTAGAGTGTAAGACATGAAGCATTCAGATCCCAGCAAAACTCACTGCGATCTGCCTGCCTAATTCTTGCGGAGCTGAACCTCGCCAACACTTGTGCACAAGCTTAACTTCACCACTGCGGTTTCTGCAGAATTATTCATTACTATTTATTTCTTTGAAGACTTATTTTAGATGATTGACAATTGCCTCAAACTGTGAATATGCTAATAAACAAACAAACAAACAAACAAACATATATCTCCTACCCTACCCCCTTTCCCAAGATAGAATCTGAAAACAAATTTTCTGCTTTTCTTCAAGCAAGAAAAGTTGTTTGGGATAGACTTCCTTTGTATCCGGTTTGACTCAGCCCATGCTGAAGCACATCTGCTTTGCTTTAGTGTGTGAAAACACATGCACCCCACAAATAAAAGCTCCAGAAAAAAAGCAGCACAGAAGAATTACCAAAATACGATGAAATCTTCTGTGATGTACCCCTGTCAACTAATGTAAGTTTGCATATCATCCATTCCTGTTTTCCCCTCTCAAATCCCAGCTCCTGGCTCTGAACAAGACAGCTTTTGTAGCTCCCTGCACCCCTTCTAAGCAGGCAGAGATGCAGAATACCCAGCTGCTGACAGGACCACGTTCAGCCTTTTCCCTTTCCCTCCAGCCACTCGCCCCACAGAAAGGCAAACAGCAGTTTTCTTCTGAGACTGGACAGCCCCTGTCGGCACACACATTTTTAAGACTGACTGTTCAAGGTTTCCGTTGTTTAAGCACTGCCCCATCCAGTACCTGGTTGACCGACTCAAAGCTGCTGCCCTCCACCACAGCCCCTTGTCCAACAGAGGAGCTGGGGCCCTCCTTCTCCAGCTCCAGCTCCAGCCCCAAAATGGCCCCTTCTCCCCAGGTTTCTATAGTCAACACAAATACAAGGTCAAGGCACAGAGGGAGCAGGTGATTGATGTCCCGGCTCCCTGCCCGGACAGGCCCAGCTGTCCCCATAGCAACCCAGAGCTATGAGAGCTGCCACGGCCTCTCAACCCCCAGCTGCAAGCCTGCGCTGCTTCTCGCTCATTCCTGCCACTGCCCACCACGCAAAGTCATTCCAACATAGTTTTATGTATTTGGGGCAAATTGCTGGCAATTTTTCTCTGTCAATCCAATGCCTGATGTTTTTTTGTCGAGGGCTGGACCTCCAGATGAGATATAATGCTTTAGGCCCCTCAGGGTTCAGTAAGGCCCTCCTCGCTTGCTCTCCCACACACCGGTACAGAGCTTCAGAAATTATTGAACTACCCTCTAGGAATGGCAAAGACTTATCTTGTGGCAGCAGAATACCTACAGTCTGAAAATGTTAATAGCAGAAATGCTTACTTTTCTTTTGTCTCTGGTATCAGCGATTCCAGTGTCCAGAAACGCATAAACCTACCTCAGAAATGCTATCTATACCAGGAATATACCATGTTTAGAACTGTGTTTAAATGTTTTTAAGCATACAACGTGCTTTTCTAAGCCACAGATAGTCCATAAGTAAGAAGGATATCTATACAATTTAAGATAGTGTAGGAAATCCATACCCAAATATCAGTCAAACAACCTGGTCTTCCAGAGTCCTGATAAAGATGTTTAGTACATACGAACTCCTCCTCTCACCCCCCAGAAGCTCATGCAAGCAAATCTCCTGTCAAAGATTATACCACTTTATTCTAAATTTAAATTAATTGTCTGAAAATTTTCCTAATCCTTTCTCTTGAAGGGTGCCAGAGCAAAACTTACTGATCAAAAGACCAAACTTTCCATTAGGACCACGCATCGTTACTAGCCTTTATTCAAAACCCTTGACAACAGAGCATGTGTCCAATTTTTATTCATACCTGCAGAGGGGCTTGAGAAGACCACTACATTCTCGTTACACCAGAGATCTACAGAAGAACGACATTGGTACACCCCGAGGAAGCTATTTTTTTCCTGACATATGCAAACATCCAGGTGAATCAGTATCATTCAGTAACCTCAAGACAAGAATTTATTGCAACTAAATAACCAGTGTTGATTTGAAGTCACTGTTAGGTCTTTTACCATACATACATAGTAGGAGTTGGGAAAGAGCAGACTCACTATTAGCATAAAGACCCATCTTGCATTTGTAGGAATACACAAATTCCACAACACGTACTGGTGTGCAGTTCAACTTTATGACAGCCCAATTATTTTACACTGTGGTAGAAGCAGGTTTTGTTTATGAGAAGACAAGCACTCAAGCTTTTGGTAGTGGCCCCTTCCATGCGCTTACCAAGAACACTCTCATGTTGTCATGGTTTAACTAAGTCATGAGTTGTGCTTCCAGTCCCTAATACTGTCAATAAAGCTTATAGAGTAATAACATTAAAAATAATGAAAATGTATATAAAAAAGAGACAATACCTCTTCTTCTGCCTCAGTTGCAATGATCCAGATCTTCAGTTATTACAGAAAAGGACCACTGTTTTTATTTGAACAGAAGCACTAACCCAAGTCATTCTGGAAAAGCAAGCTCTAAGTATCTCCTTGGAAGTGGAGGGGACAGGACACCAAAGATTGCATAATATTTTAAGTGTAAAAAAGGTACAAAATTTTATTTGACAAGTTAACAAGTAAGCATTTCATTAATCCATTAAAACACTTTATTACAAATCAGTGTAGTTGAATTATAGCTACCCTACACAGAAGTTAATTCTGAGGTGAACAAACTGACCTACTAGTGAGTATGCAGTTCAGAATGTGTATCTATATCTAGGCTATATATATTTTATTTTTAAAAGGTATTTTGTGAAATTAAAAATTTACTAGCTGTCAGACAACTTCAAAAACTTCTAACACAGTAAACTTCGGAACTATTGTTCCCACATGATATCATCTTTTTTCAGTGTTGACTGAAGTTTCCGCACATTTTTTAGCAGCTGAAGAGAACTTCTGCTTTTCTGCCCAGGACAAGATCTAGACATACTTTCCCTTACTGCAATCTCCTTTGTTTCCTTTTGGTCACCACGCTTTAGTTTGACATGAGCTGCCCCTTGCTTCAACTTCTGAGTTTTTCTCTTTAATTTTTGCACCTAGGAAGAAAGATTACTAATTAGAATGTTACATACTCGGAAGACCTATAGCTGTAGAGCTTACTGGCTTCTACCAAACTAAAGATGTCTAAGGGACATTAAAAAAAAAAAAAGTTAAAACCTAGTAACCTTGTATGCAGTCGTCTCACTGTAACAGAGACAGAAAGCACTACAGAAAACTGACCTCGCCCACACAGAAAGCATTGCAGAAAACTGACCTCACCCACACTCAATAGGTTGCTGAACCCCATTACTCCCTAAGGTAAAAACACTTGCTTGAGACAGACGGAATATCATCTGTTACCAATTTATATTTACAACGGTCTTTTTCCATTTCAGATTGTACTACCCTAACAAAAAACCCCACCCAACAAACCTATAAAATGTATACTGTTTATTATCAGTTCCTGTATCTAAGCAGTTTACTTTGAAGCCTCATAACAGAATTGGAAAACGGAATAAATAGGGTTGATTGCTAAAGAATGTTCTTTTAAATGTCAAATAATAAGTCTTGACTTGCGCTTGGCATGAAAAGGTCACTCCCAAAGATAAAATTAGGCTGGAAGCATTCCATATGCCAATTTAGGCTTTAAGTCCATTTCTAAAAATAATTAACTTTAATTGCATTCTAGAAAATATTATTAACTGTGAAACACAGAGATGACTACAGCATTTTTAGTGTGACAGGTTCAAAAAGCAGAAATACGCATCAGAAATACTAAGATTGGTATGTACAAAATACAAACAGAAATGTCTGTGCAAAAGCACTAGAAAAAAACGATATAGGCCAAGGGTTACAGGAGTGGCCTGTATTGATAACCAGGGCATGATGGACAGTAATCAAACAGACAAACACGAAGAATGTGCTATTTACATCATGAGCCTAAGGCGTGTGCTCTGATAAGGCTGTACCAGAGCACAGATGACTTGCCAGCAGATCTGCACCCTGATAATAGGCGAGGATGACAACAAGGTTGCACCACATTGTATGTGTTATTCCTCTTCTCATCATCCCAAAATGAAGGCTGACTGTAGCCATAAAGATATGCAAAAGGAAGAAACAAAGGTGCAGTTGTTGTCCATTGTCTAAGGTTCCTGGAGGATGAAGTCAGCAAAATTCTGAGGCAAAGAATAACACCGTCATTGTTGGCTCCTCAAGAATATAAGAGATTTACCCCAAAAACAGTTGACATCATTGCCAAGAGAAGCAGTGAGGACTCAACAGTCAATGTCCTTGTCCATATTGCTAATATGCAACTCTGACAATTCTACTTTGACATGTTTGAGTGAGTAAAATCTATGAAAGAATGAACATGAATAAAATTGGTCAGATTTAAATTGACTATCGCCTCCCCCTTTCATAAGGTCTCACGCTGAGTTTTGTTTCCTGTATAAGCAAAGTTCTTAGGTGAGTCTATTTATCCTGAAACATAAGACGGAAGAACAGAAAACTATCAGACAGAACTATGGATTGCATTTTTTTATCGTACGTTCTGTTCTGTTTTCGGCTGGGATAGAGTTAATTTTCTTGCTAGCAGCTGGCATAGTGCTGTGTTTTGGATTTAGGATGAGAATAATGTTGATAACACACTGTTTTAGTTGTTGGCAAGCAGTTAAGGACTTTTCAGCTTCTCATACTGCCCTGTCAATGAGAAGGCTGGGGGTGGCCAAGAAGCTGGGAGGGGACACAGCCAGGACAGCTGATCCAAACCGGCCAAAGGGATATTCCATACCATATGATGTCATGCTGAGTATATAACTGGGGGAGTTGGCTGAGAGGTGGCACGGTTCAGGAACTAGCTGAGCATCGTCTCTGAGTGGTGAGCAACTGTGCTGTGCATCAGTTGTTTTGTATGTTGTATTATGATGGTGATGATGATGATTATTTTCCTTTTCTGTCCTATTAAACTGTCTTTATCTCAATCCACGAGTTTTCTTTTTTTTTTTCTTTTTGATTCTCTCCCCCCTCCCACTGGGTGGGAGGAGTGAGCAAGTGGCTGTGTGGTGCTTAACTGGGGTTAAACCACACCATGTTCCAAACCAAAATGCTACAAAAAGGTTAAGCTGTTCATCTAGAGAAGAGTGATTTTATGTGGGCATGTATGAAAAGCTGTTATCTATGGCTCCAAAACAAATACTGACAGAATGCATACAGATTAGGCGTTAAAGAAAACTGAAAGGCTTGTCCGGCTATGATTTTGAAGAAGCTGTGGTCAACAGACTATTTGGTTAATAAAAAGCTTTAATATTTCACTAATATAAAAGACATTTAATCCAGCCTGTACAGGAATTATAACTTCTATTTTCTCATTCCCCAGAGGGACAGAACACAAAGGAATGAAATCTCAACAGTTTGTCTTAACGCAGCGAGCAGAAGTGACAGACTGAGCAACCCTGCTCTGTATTGCAGAACTGCCACAGGGCAGGAAGCTTTTGCTCTAGCACAGATACCTAGCTGCCAGTTGTAAGCACTTTTTCTTGATAAAAAGAAGGAATTGGAGGTACAAGAACACTGAGCTAGTAGCCTAATTATAATCACCCATACTGGAACATCCTGGCTTAAGCATTCGAGTGACATTCTAGTTAATGACAACAGGAGGCAGAGTTGTGGCAGCCTTCAACTAGAGTGTTGCTAGCTAGAGAGTTTACATCTTGTTCTTACAGAAGCCTGATGCTTTTTCAGCTTGGATATTTGTTCTCCTTTGATCTCCATTTGTTTAACAAGGAAATCCAGCTCCCATTCTAGGTGTTCACAAACTCCGGCGTCTTGAGTCTCCTGTATCTGCTTCAGAAGTTCTTGATGCTTACTATTAAAGACAAGAATAGCACACTAAGTACTCATGATATAGTCTCTAGGATTTCTCCCAATACTTCCAGTGTATTGCAGGAGTTGCTAGGTGCATTGTCCACAGTACAGCAATTTACCATTTACCCCCTCACACAATACACATTAATATGAAATATATTCACACTACAAAAGAAAAAGTTTTTCCAGTGGGTCTGATTTTCTCATTCCAAATTCGTAGCTGATGTGCATCTTATCCCTGCACCTTGTCACAGTCATAACAACTACATGTGTAATAGTATGCAAAATGAGGATTTGCAAAGTGAACAGCTGCTGTGCAGCATGGTATTTTCACTTCCTGCCCGATTTAGTGCAGACTTTGAAAGCTTAGTGTAATACAGAAAAGTATTGTTTTAAACTAGTACATTTAATTTATATTTTTTTCTGACAGATAATGCAAATTAAAATATTCTACTCAAAAAGATTTTCAGTGAGCTGTGCTGGTTAGTCAAATTAACCAGCTTAATTAAAAGAAATTGTGTAGATCTACTTGATCCCTAGATATCTGAACTAGTCAAAAACAGAGACCCACTCTTAGATAAATAATCTCTTTATGAAGGTCACAGCTTCTTTTCTGACTTCTGAGTAACTGCTGCTCCTTGACAGTTTAACTGAAGCAAGTGGTTGTTGCTATAACAAAAAAAACCCACACACCCCCCCCAAAAGCCCATCCTTGAATTTCCATGAGTAAGCCAAAGCTTTTTAAAGAAGAGATTGGTTGCCAGTTTAAATTTTGCCACATCAAGGATTTCAAACCAGTGTCAACAACCTAACTGTTTTAATCAGCACATCCTCCTCTGTTCAAACCACAGCTCATCATGTTGACGTGTCCACTATGACCAGCTACACAGCTTTGGCCCACAATTCTACAAGCTTGCATTAATGGGAAGATGCATAAGAACATGACAAGCTGTAATCCACATTTACTTGCATGGCATTACTAATACGTTAGCTTCTTCCACACCCTGCCCATTTTCTGGCAGGAGACCGTCCCTCTTTCACAATCCCTTTACAGGACTGGCAAGTTCTCCTGCTGTCAACAAGGAAAGGGTATGAACGCCAGATTGTCAGCACAAAGACCCATCAGGTACACAGAGAGAACACAGAAAGAGTGAGTACAAAGGAATAGCCTAGATGTTGTGACAGGACTACTGCCACAGCTGCACTAACCTATTCTACCACCCAGACTGACTGCATGCTGCAGGCTTACTCAACATTAACACCGCCTTTGCAGACAAGGAGAACATTCTTGGTCTACTCTGTAGATCTCAGTATGTTTAAAATTTCTAAAAAGTACAGGCCTGAAAGATTTTTCATTTGCTGCAGCTGTTACTTCAGTAGCAGCTCAGTTACATACAGGATGTGGAAGCAGAAAAACCCAGCTGAAGAGTATGTTGCTTGCTCACAAGATCAGTTAAGCACTAGGATAAAGAAAATTGTTGAATGAGAAAATTCCACACTTAAAACAGGCTAGGTTCAACTACAGCACGCCTGTAGCTTCACAGGGCTACCACTGAAGTCACTTTTACTCGTAACACCAGGGATGAGTACTCACAAGCTCATTTGGCCCAGCTCATCTTGTATGGCCAACAGAAGGTTCGAAAGACTTCTGGTGGCAGTAGGTGATGTGGGACCAGAGGATACAGATTTTGAAAGTGCACTGCGTCCTGAAATCCCAGACGTAGCTCCTTCTTGGCTTCGTGATGAGATATGTGGACTGCGATGCTTCATAATATGCAACACACTTTGTACATTTGCACTAACAGAATGGCTGGAGCTGACAGACTTAAAACAGAATTATTAAGTGGTTTACAGAAGTGATTATCAATTACAGTAAAGAGACTTACTCAAATTGTAGATGCCTATTTAGCAAGAACATTTGGTTTCACTCACCTTCCCTGCCACAAAAGGTAGTTCCTGAGCCTTTACACGTAATTGTGAAAGGTGTATTTTCTTCATTGCAGGATTTCTCTGCCATAAGATAGACAAAAAATTAAGATGAGAAATTCCAAACTGCTGATCCAACAGCACAATCGTAAAACATTTTTTTTCTTTTAAATAAGTAAAATTCAAATAAACAAGAAATGAAATGCATCACCTCAGTTTCCCTCTGGTTTAAAAAAATAATTTCCCTCCTGTATGTGGAAGGAGTAGGACTTTCCAACAGCTGAGACAAGTAGATTTTATTCCACATGTATTTAGCAGATAGTCTGATAATTAGGTTGACATTAAAGAAACTGAACATTGCTTACTTAGGTTTGCAAAACCATGGTTGCAAAATTTTGACTGACCTGTAACATGTGTTGCAAAATGAATTCTCTTGATTTCAGCAATCCCCCCAAAACACACCATCTTAAGATGCCTACTTAAAACTGCTTTGGAAACTAATTTTGCCAGATAAACTGAAAGGCAGCTAAGACAGGACATGGGGGATGGCAGCAAGACTGTAACAGAGGTTATTGTCATGCTGGTAAGGGAAAGCTTTCCAGTGGGGTGCTACCAGCCCTAGCATGGTTTTAATTACCAAAGGGGAAAACAAAAATAGAGGTATTCAGCACTGTTCATCATTTTGGAAATGGAGTAAAGTGCAGCAGACAAATAAAGTGCCTCTTACATCACTGTTTTTCACAAATTCCAATCTCTGTGCAAGTCAGATACTATCAGCAACAGTATGCTAATAAAAACTTTCATGTTACCTTCTTAGGTTTTTTCTTCTTCCCGTTTTCCTTTTTAGGTTCATTTTGAGATTTTACCAAAGACATCAAAATTCTGTTTATCTCAAATCCTGTTTGAAGCTGTGGGAATAAGCAAAAAAGAAAACAAGCATTTAATGTAATATTAGAAGTATGAAATCACATGGTTTAATTCATTCCCTCTTTCCTGCATGGATGAGAACCAATTAAGGGCACTACTAACTGTCCTGCTTGGAAGGCATAAGCTACACTTAAAAACTAAACAGATTACTAGGATGGCAGGGTATCGAGCAGATCTTGCAGCTCTGTCTTAGAAGCCCTTATTTTGATATTCAGCTGCAGCAGCTGTATTTTTCCACTATGACAATCAGCAATCGAGATAAGCCAATCCTGTTGCATGCTGGGGATCTGATTGTAAAATCCAAAGAATATGAACATTTGGATCTTACAGTCTGGGGGCAGAGAGAACTAAGCCGGTCTGCGTAACACTGAGGTCAAACCTGCTGGACAAACCTCAGGTTGCTCTGTAGTTCACAGCTGATATGAAGGCCCATGATAAACAGGATAATAGCAATTCCCAATTCAACATAGGACAAGGACTTTGTTTTGGTGTGTGTAACAATTCCGGCTAAACAATGCTGGAGATCCATCAAAAAAGTGAGATTATTGTGGCTTTTCTGTCATCAAAAGGAAGTGAACCACCCCACACCCTGTGTTTCCCAATCCAGATCCAAGAGACCTAAATCCATCCTGCACTGAACTAAGATGGTACTAATACTAGTTTAGGACTCAGTTTACCACACCTAAGTCCTTTCTTGAGCAAATGTTTATACTACTGCTAAAGTCAGACTGTCTGCTCTGGGAAGGTCATTCTTACTATGTTTCTCAGAAGATAAAAATCTCCATACTAGCCCTTCTGCTCTGCAGCAGCAAGCAGTTTACACAAGAAACCCCAAAACCTGCAAGTTTTCAACTGTGTCATTCTGCTGGATTCTGGAGGTGGTCGGATACCTGAGCTACAATCTGCATGTTATTTCAAGCTTCCTGGACTGATGAAAGCCCATCATCCTTGGATGCAGTATAAAAACTGACAGCAGTGATGAATTAATTTAAGCTGTCGCCTTCGCTTATGGCTAGGTTCTTTCAGTATTATTTTTCAGGTCTGCATCCCCCCACCCTGCCCCAAAGGAACGCCACCACAACTGCTCTCTTTCAAAACGGCTGCTACTTCTCGATCAAGTGAGGTTTGGAATACTACTACTTTGCCCCTTTAACAAAAGGTTTATTTGATTTTGCTCTCGTTGGCAAATATTCCTCTCTCAAATGGATGGTGGCCCAACAAACTGATTATGGCTTCACATGAATTATCCAAGTTCTCACTTAATGAACAATGTAACAGCATCACTGATTAAAAACTTTTCCCAGTATAGTCCAATATATTAGATTTCAGCAGATCGTAACAAAAAGAGGAAAACAAACAGAATAACCAATCTTACTTGAGATACAAGATTTCTTATATGACCACTTTCTAGTTACAGTAAGTTAAAGTTATCTGATTTAGTTGCAGATTCTCTAGAAATTAATTTTCTACCCAGATCACTTACAGCAGCTTTGAGGTTGATAAAGTGTATCATTAATACAAAACCAAGTAGAATCTTCTTTGATTGAGATATGCAACACACATGGCAAGCTTTCTACTATGTAGTTTATAACTGGTCTGGGTAGTATTCCAAGAGTTCTCCCTGGGTAATAAACATGTGGAGTTTAAATGTAATTTAAAAAAGGGTATTTTGGACAGAGAGAACAGCTTTCTTCAGTCATAAAAAATAAGATAAAATAAACCTTTTCAGTCTACCTGAACAGTTTTGTCTTGTATTAGCTTACGCTGATGCTCTTCTTTACAAAGCTTTTCTTCTAAGTGTTTGATCTTGTCCTGAATTTAAAGGCAAGAATGATTAGTCATGCTTCAGTTTGCCATGCTGAATCAGAAGTCTGAAGTAGCTTCCAATTGTGATCTGGGATAAAACAGGACTGTAGGAATTTTTAAAGCCTGTACTGAAAAAAAGACTCAGGCAAATGAAGCCAAGGTGGCATTCAGTCAGGTATGCTTCATGATCTTAGCTTTAACAGAGGAAAGTTTTGCAAATCTTAGTATCATTAACAGTATACCATACAAATTATCTCAAATGTATGACTTTCAGACTGTAATTCCATGCTTACTTCTGCAATTCTCTGAGTAGCAGTAAGTTTAAGACACTCTTTTTCTAGCATTTCAAGCTTTTCAAGTTTTGCACGCAGTTCCAACCAGTTCTGATCTTCCTCTTTCTGAAGCTGGGCCTGGAAAAAAGTAAGCAAGAACGGAGTTGGCAGCTGACTGAAATTGTTTCAGACAGCAACACACTACAGTAAAGGTGTTTAACTAATTTAATGTTTTTTAAATTGCAAAGTGATGAAAAATACCAGCCAGACAGAGAAGACATAAGTTTCCAGCAGCCTTTTTGTCTATCAAATGTGCAAGTATTAGCATGGTTTTGCTCCTTAGGAGTTCCACCTAGGGAGTCTTTTCATACAATTCATTGAATGGTTGTCATCAGCCAGTCAGACAATAAATTGCTTCTGTTTGCTACCACCCTGAGCAGAGCTGAGGAAAAATGATGGCCATAAAAAAGTTCATATCTTACACATTTCTATACTTTTTAACTATATCACTACTTTGTTAGTATGCTAAAGGGCTTCACCTGTTGCTCTAAAACCATTTTCTTTTCCAGTTCCGCACTGGAAACCATTTTCTTCATGTAATCCAGCTGTTTCTCCAGCAGGGAGCAGCGGGATTGTGCTGCATTTAATTGCACACTTACATCTACAGAGAGAAACAAAGACATGCAGTACAGCAATGGGAATTACACATTTAGCCAGTCTGTCATCTCATTGAGGAATTCTCTGTCTTCAAAATATGCAAGAAAAGTTTTCTTAGTCTGAACAAGTCATGTGGTTAAAATATATCTTTTATATATGTATATGACATGAGAATCAAAATGCTTTTCCAGAGCTAGTCTCTAATTTGAATTCCAAACTTGTGAGCACTGCAGTTACTTTGATTTATATCAGCAGATATCTAACCAGAATCTGGTTTCTTCCCTTCTCCTCACTTTTCTCAAGTTAGCAGCGTTATACATGTAAGCAGCTGCTTGCTTATTGTAGGAGTTAAATGTACCAACTGAAGTCTGCTTATTCTTTAAAATAGCTTTATGGCTTATGCAATACTTGGTTAATATATGTAAAAAAAGATCTCAATTTGATCCACAATTATCAAGTTCCTGCTCCTCCCCAATTCTGCAGCAAAAAAGAAAGGGGGATGCATTAATTAGCAGTTGGTCAAAACAAACTATCCCTGGATTGTGCAGTCTTGGAGTTACTGCGGCTATACCTTATCACTCAAGAGAAATACCTTTCCTCTGTTGCATCAGTTCTTGATGTGCTGTGTCCTTTTTGTAGGATTCATGTTCTAAGGCCTTCTTATACTGAGCAGCTGCTATGGAGAGGCTGTACAGATTATCTTCAGCCTGTGACTTCTCCAACTCTAGATGGTGGATCTTTTCTTGAAGAGTTTTCACAGCTGCCACCACAGCTAGCAAACAATGTCACAGTTACATCTCAAGTAACAGTTCCTATTATTATTATTAAACACTTCAAAGAGCAAAATACTACCTAAATTTTCTTCCTAGGATCACTCCTAAAATGAATGATATTCCCCAGCAGTACACTAACACATACAGAACATATCTGGGAGAAAATGGACATGTTTACTGCATAATGGAGTTATAAAGCACAGGTCCTATGAGCAAAACTGTTTTCACTCCAAATGGTAGCAAGCACAAAGAAATCGCAAATTCTGTATAACAAAACCTGGGACTTCTGTTTACACAGAAGCAGGGAACACAGCCAAGTCAGGTCACAAGTTTTGGTGTAATGCAACTGGTGTGGACAGATTGAAAAAAACAGACTCAGGTCAGGGTAAATCAGATACAAAGGGACATTTTAGTTGAGGATGCATTTTAAAAACTTTATAGTTTCAAAACGTAATGATTCAATGCCTAGTTTCTTGTATTTCATGACTCTTTAAATCATAGAAACAAGTCTGCAAGATTGTGCTTTTAGCCTCAAATCAGTATATGTGAAAATTATGCCAAAAATAAAAGTTGCAATTTCAGTTACAAGGAAAAGTCTACTAGCTCTCCAGAAACTATACACACCTGTGGCAGTTTAAGACATGTTCTGTAACAAGTCAAGCTTCTTTTCAGACATTTTATAAGCCTTGATAGTTTCCCTGTTCTCTCAGTAGAGGAATACCCAGCAAATATTTCTAGCTCCATAGCAACTCTCATCAGCTTATCATAGCCCCATTAAAATAAAACTTTTTAAAAAAAGGAAAAAAAAAAAAGAAAAAAGCAGATACCAGAGAGCAGAAAGTTCTTTCTATTGGCATGCCAAACATTTCCTTTCTTAAACACTTAGCTGCATAACATCAAACAGAACATTATAATCCAAAAAAGCCAAACTCTGTATGACAAAAGATTACTACAGAATTGTCCTGGTTTCAGCTGAGATAGAGTTAATTTTCTTCCTAGTAGCCAGTATAGTGCTGTGTTTTGGATTTAGTATGAGAATAATGTTGATAACACACTAATGTTTCTAGTTGTTGCTAGGTAGTTGCAGTGCTTACACTAAGCCAAGGACTTCTCAGCTTCTCACAACCCCCGGCCATGTGCCCCAGAAGCTGGGAGAGCACAGCCAGGACAGCTGACCCAGACTGGCCAACGGGATATTCCCTACCACAGAATGTCATGCTCTGGATATAAATTAGGAAGCTAGCTGGGAGGTGGGATTGCTGCT